GGGGGGGGGGGGGAATCAAAGCCACTGATTAACTGACATCAGGAAGGAATATTTTCCCAGAATGAGGTCTTAGGAACACATCAGAGTTGCTGGAAGAGGAAACATCTTGGAGTGAAGCACAAGCAAAAGCCCCATGCCTGCAATCACACCCCGTCACTCAGGTTTGCTAGGATCATGACCATCTTGATGAAATGTTTTCTACTGACTGTTCACACCAAGTCACAACGATTTCACTCATCTGTGGCCCATGAACCACTTACCGGTGACAGAAACCAACTTTGTGGGTGGCTTGGGAGAACTGTGCAACTTACAACCGCTCTTCTTCCATCTTCCTCTCAGATTGGGACATACTATAAGTACTCTATTTTCTTGCTTCCCTGTAAACTTCACCGCTCAGTTATCTCACCTTGATCAGTCTCTCCTCATGGATATGCCTGTCCTCTGTATTCACTCACTCTCTCTTTTTCTCCACCAATGATGGTCCCATGACCTTGGAAAATTTCTCTCTGAAGACCAGGGCCAGGTTCATGGGTGTGCCACCTTGGCCCCTTGCTATAAGAGCTTCATACTTGGAACAATGATGTGTTGAAATCCTTAATTTTATCTTGAACTTGTGTTTTGTAAATGAAGCCTAATGGAACAATGGAGCATGCATATAAGCAGAGAAGACATGTGCAATATGCATGTTTATTGCCCCTTGCCGCCCCGTTCTCAAGTAACATTTGCAATACCTCATGAGCACAGAATTCCAGTGGCCCCATGATGCGTGGGAACCTAGCAAAACTCAAAGTGAATGCAAGGCAAGTGTGTTAAGTCTGCGACTGAGGAAGTGTGGGTACTGGCAGCCCCCAAAGGCTACATGCTCTTCTTGAACCAGGACTTCTGCAGAAAGAAGAAAACATCCAAGGAATCCTATTACTGTATATTTTCTTCTTCATCTTATTTACTTGTTATATTGAAAATGATGACATAGAAGGAAAAGGAAAGACAGGGAAGCTTATAATTCCTTTTCTTTTCAGTCCCTTCTAACTCATCAGGTAGCTGAAATTCAAGTGTTTGTAGAATATCAAGATAAAGTGCATATCAAAACGTGGAATAAAGACAGTCCAGTGAGTTTTGTGGAGTCTTTCTACAAAATACGTATTCACGTATAACTATGCAATACAAACTGTGATTTTGATGATTTCACATATGAGCTAAATGATCTTATGTTTGCATTTAAAACCATATCACTATATAATATAAGGATGAAGGATATAATTCATGATAATCATCTAAAATTTTATTTTTCTTTACTTAAAAGGACATGAAATCTCAAACAAAACACCATGACAAGTTGGGGGGAGGGAAGATTGTGACAAGAAAAGAAAAAAAGCTGTATTTGTTAGTGCCTTTACCTACACTTTTCTCCTGCTTTTGAATGAGAGGTCCTGAGTTTTCATTTTGCACTGGGTCCCACAATCATGCAGCTGGTTCTGCTGAAGACTTTTCAGTTGGAACTGTGTGCCTCATTTTTACTAATTAAGGCTAAGAAGCATTACATCAGTGTTATAATATTCCTGAGTCATGGAAAGGGAAGATCAAATTGGTGGCTCTTTGAAAACTCCTTGAAAATTGTCTTTGAGTTCTCAGGAACTTTTAAGCAAGCAAAACTAATTCCTTCTCTAACAAGAAGAAAAAATATGTTTTTTTAATGCCTGTTTCTTCTTTAATGATATCACTTTATTTTAACATGAGGATAAAAATATATTGTTTTCCTCCTGGTTTTCACTGAAAATATATAGTTTTTCGGCTGTACTATGGGTTACACAGACTGATCTGCCGACAGGGGAACCACAATATCCCTGCGTTTTCTGGGCGGGGTTGGGTAACTTACCACTATTTTATTCTCCAGCATAAATGTGTTTTAAGTACAAAAATAACTCGGTTACAAATTAACTTTTGTTTCATAGCCTTTTTGTAAGTCAAGATTGATCTGATTTTAGTTTACATTTTCTTACAGTTCAAATATGATGCTTGATAGATTGAATTTGCTTCATGACTACAAAATTTGTTAATGTTTCCTTAGCCAGTTTTGAGAGCTTTGTGTGCGATTTTTTGGATTAGCCGTGAAATCTGGTCAGGAAGAGGCAGGACAAATGGTCAGCAAGCAAACAAATGGGGAAAAGGAAGTTTCATATTTTGTACCAAGATTCAGATCATTCCTACTCATATTCTTGCTTCTGTAATTACTACCATATTTGTTTTAAATCATTTTCAGTCATTAGTTTCCTAAAGACTCCCCCCAAATTAGATATTTTCTATGAAATTATCCTATGAGAATAGAGAAAATGTTCTAAATGCTATTAACCTCCAAGAATTTTATTGGTCTTCTTCCATCAGTAAGAAGAGTTAGGAACTTTCATTTTAAGAGGCAAAGGAAAACAGAAAATAATAAAAATGAAAAGAATTCCCTCTAGTTTCTATGTCCACTGTGACCACATTTAATAATTATTCTTCTGTGTATTAAGTTCATCACTGCTGAAAGCACAATCTTCTCAGATGAGATCATCCTCATTTGAGACTGGCAACAGTAGCAATGAACAGCTATTTGGATTTTTAGTTCACAAGCTCAACATAAACCAGCTTCGCCAGTCTTGAGGTATAGTCTTGATAATACTTTATTTTTTCTTTTAACTGTCTTGTATCCTTGTATCACCCTACCATGTAAAGAATGTAACTTATAAAGAGAATCAGTGCATATGTAATTTAAATAGCCTGTTTTGGTGACTTTAACGTTTAACTTTTAAAAATTATATTTATATGAAAAAAAAAGCCTTCCTTAAATAAGATTTTTGTGACCTGTTTTGATTATAGAACATGTGTACTTTTTGCAGAAGAAGAGCCTGTCACAGATTTTAAGGGGAAAGAAAAAGGAAGCTTTGCCTTCATTTCTCTCACTGACCCTTTGGTGTTTATTTGCAGTAACTGTCCCTGATGCAGTCTCCCTTTAATTCCATTGTTTTTAGAGAAGAGTGGTTTATTTTATTTTTATGAAGACTGGTTTTCTCTCAAAACACTATTGGATTAAGCTTATTTCCCAGGTTAATAACTTTTATTAAAAACTGTTTCCGTGTGGATTTTACAAAAACAGCCTGCAGGCAGAGATCTACCTGCCCCTGCTGTCGTCAGTGCTCATACCGGGGAACTCTGAGGGCAGAGATCAGAGGCTGGATTTGCAGAAATCTCCAGCATGCAGGTGGCCCCGCGCACACACCAGCGGCAACACTGCAGAGCCCCCCGCCTTGCTGAGCGTGCACGATCAGACCTGGGGGCTGGGCACGCACAAGCAAGGCGCTATTTCATTAATCCCCAGGATGATCCTGAGATACAGTGAAGTTCTAGGGTAGCCTCGAGGTCAGCAGCCTACTCGCCTGCAAGCTTTCAGAGCCTTACTGGAATGGGCACATTGCCACGTGCAAACAGCATTTCGGCATCCTCGGTGTACGTTTAAAGGGCAAAGGCGCTCAGGGGTCCTGGGGCCCCTTCACACCTAACACCGTGGTTCCTTCTAGAAATGCAGACGACCCAGCAACCAGGAGCCTCACTGGGTGGCCCGACGCAAAGCGTTCACCCTCTCCCTTCCCTTCTGCGGTCTCAGTTTCCCACGGGTGTGATCGGAAACTTGCATGAAGTTTTCCTCAACTTTCCCTGAACGGGCTTTGGAAGCGCAGCAAGAGAGAGGCGGAATCAGAACAGATAAGTCAGCCATCCTCTCAGGGGCTGGGAAGGGCCAATCTATTCGGTTAAACTCGGGGCAACAGCTGATGGCAATTTTTAGCGAGGGCGGGAGCCCAGCAGCAGAGAAACTTAGCCGGAGACCTGACACCCAGAGGCGCGCTGGGCGCTGCTCTGAAGTCCCGAGCCTCGTTCGCACCGCAGCCTGACTCGCTCCCTGCAGCTGGAGAAACTACATTTCCCAGAATGCCGTTCGAGCCGCCTCGCCGGGCGCCGCCGGGCGCCTGGATGACGCCATAAGCCCGCGCGACGCTTAGACTCCACTGATGTCGTGGCGCTGTAGGGGCAGAAGTTGGTGTTTCGCCGGGCCCTGGTCCTGAAGACGTGGTCCGGGCCACCCCTGAGCCCTTCCTACCCCTTCGCCCGCCTTTCCCTCCCCTTTCTGGCAGGATGAGGCGTGCAGGCCTGGGTAAGGAGAGGGCTTAGGTTCAAAATTCGGGGGGCCCCCGGAAGCGACCGTGCTGGGTGCTGGGACGCGGGGAAGTCGGGCGGGCTTGTGTCCTGGAGCCTGGGCCAGAAAGCAGGCTGGACGGAGGGGCTTTGGAGGCGGCGCCAGGGGGAAACAGGCCGTCCGTCCCAGATCCCAGAGGTTTCCTTAAGTTTGGACGGTAGGTTTAGAGAGGGGAGTGGAGGACTCGGGGTGGAGTGTTCGGGTGTCAGCCCAGCAGCCAGGCCTCACGGTCAGTGACTGACAGCAGGGGTGCGAAAGGCGCCTGTTCCCCCAAGTGCCGCTCCAGCTTCTCCTCCGCCGGCCCCGGGTGGTAGTTTCTTCAGAAGAGAAATTTGAACAGTGTTGCATGGGAAGCGCAGTAGCAATAGTAATAATCATGTTAGTCCGGTGACTGGGTTACAAAGGTAAGTGTACGTGTCACTGCTGTTAAAGTCCGAGACAGACGTCGGGGTCAGAGGCCGTTTTGCCCGAGCGCTTCTTACCTGAGCCTGTCCCTCTGCTGAGGCGGTGACGTGTGGCGCTGCGAGGGGCTTGGCGCCTGTGCTTGACCTTCTAGCATGGGAGGCCTTGCTCACCGGCCCGCAGGAATCGGTCAGGCGCAGGGGCTTTTACTGGGCCCTCACAACGCACAGCTGCTAAAACAGCATTTTCTGGTTCTGAAGTTCTCTATTAAGAGACGATTTAAAAAACAACAACAAACAGAACCCTGCTAAATCAGCATAGGGTATACCTGAGAAAAAGGTATGAAGTATCTGAAAAAAGATGTTATCTTTTTCAGTTGTTATAAGATGGGGGGGGGGAACTTTTTCAAAAGTGTCAGGTATTTAAAGTCAGTGAAAGTTGCCAGTAACTCTAGACTTGCACATTGATTAATACATTGTAGTATGAGAAACAGCTTGTGAAAAGTATAATTTTTATGAATACTCGGATCATAGAAAAAAAGTTAACTAGGTTAATCATAAAGAAAAAAATAACTAATTTTGAGCAAGTTTAGTTTTATATGCCTAAATGTAATTCTAATGCCAACAAACATTTATTGTGTACTTGAGTAAGCTCTAGGTATACACCCGTTTGTGGCCTTGTGTGTGCTCCCCAAAGCTTCCAATCTAGTTGGGGAGTAGGAACAGGTTCAAAGATACATTATAGTACAAGGTGGTAGTTATACATCCAAATGCCAGATAAATTCTACAGATAGTGAATATGTAGGGATTTCAGGGATAGAGTGCTGTGTACTTTGTGGAGACATAGGAACTTGAACTAGAGCTTGAAGATAGAGAGGAGGTAAGTTCTAGCTGGAAGGGTGACCCTCCCTCCCAGAGAAGTTGTATGACTAGAATTATGAATGGGATGTTGAAGGGATTATGATCAAGCCAGTTTGATTAAAGCAGGAGGCATGGAACCAGAACTACCATATTGTGGAGATCTATGAGTGCCAGGCCAAGGACCCTTTGGCCCCTTTGAATATATTGTTCAGCAGAGTGTCATGGTAAATTGCAGAAAAAGGACTTGACAAATGGTGATTCTCAGCCTGATTGCACATTAGAATCACCTGGAGAGCTTTCACCGCATTGCTACCTGGACACCCACCCCAGCTCAGACTAAGTAAGTTAGAATCTCTAGGATAGAGCCTTTTTCTTTTAAACTCCCCTGTAGTTGAGAGGAAAGGTGATGATGTAGGTGTCTTGCTCTCATCTACATTGGTATGATGTGAGGCGGGGTTTTTTTTAATCTTGATTTTTTTTTTAAAATTGTTTTAAAGTATCAAGGTATATTGACCTGGAATTTTAAACTTGGGATACACAGTGAATCTAATAGATATTCATGTGGAGAAGCTGCCACACTTCACATGGATTTAAATGATTTGCCTCAACTATCAATAGAAACTACCCAGAAAAAGTAGCATTTGTCTAAATGGACAGAGGCTGAGGATGGGCGACTTTTCACTCACTGACTTTCCTACAACTTCCATAACAGTGATCCACACAAAAGGAGGGGCCAACTTTGGAATAGCAACTCCTAGAATTTTATTTGATATTTCTGGCTTTTATTTTTGGGGGTGGGTGATAGTGTGAGGGAAGTTTAAAACTCTTTAATAGAAGAAATGTGCACGGAAAGATTGCTGGGTGATGAGAATTTTGTTTTCAGTAAATGGAACAATATAGAAGAGCTCTAAAATGAAGGTAGGCAAAGAAAATAAAGCAAATAGCCATTAATTTAGAAGTGAATTCCTTGGTGAAGTTGTCAGGTGATTAAATTCAACCAGTAATTACTTACTGGGCAAATGTTCTACATTCAGAACCTTAGTCATAAAGGAAGAAGACATACACCTTTTCTTTAAGGATTTTGGTCCTTATTAAAGTGGCGTTTGTACAGAGTATCATTAGCTGATGGAGTGAGAATGCATTTTTAAATGGTTATTGTAATTGAATGGAGGACAGTACTATGCCTAGTCACTTGAGTTCTTTTATGATCGTGCATTTGGAGAGCTTTATGAGTAGTGTGTCAGCAGTTGAGGAAAAATCTGGGGAATGTAACTCTTTCTCTGGAACATACTTGTTTGACATTTTGTTGTGTTTTTTGTGTAGTAGTGGAGATTGTGTGTCTGCTGCATATAAAGTACTCAGTAGGTACAGGGGATATAGAATTATGAGATACTGTTTCTGCCCTCAAAGAAGCTTATGATTCTATTCTTGACAAAGGTAGGCACATTCAAAGTTGAATAACAGTGAATTCAGACTCTTAATTTATTTACAAGTTTTACTGAGTATGCCTTACTGTATGTGTGTGCATGCATTTGTGGGGGATATACAGCCATGAGTGAAACAAATTTAGTTTCTGCCCTTGGAGTGCGTTCTAGAGTGAGATATTAGTGTTTGGTATAGTCAGGGCTATAAGAACTCAAAGGAGGGGGCTTGCTTTTTAGAAAAAATGAGATTTGTGCTGTGCCTTGAAAGAGCTTCCCATTCATACCTCAACCATCCTTCAACTACCAGTGCTGACCACTGTTTCCTGTTCTTCCATCTACTCTTTGAGTTTACTAGATGCCTGATATCTATATCACCCCTTTTCCCCATATTCTCAGACCCCTATTGAAACCACTTCAATTCCTGTCCAGTCTAGACCCCATAGTTCGTATCTTTAACCACTCTTTTGGGAAGCAGTCTCAACTTCTTGGGGTTCTATCCTTCTGCAGCCCAACACTGTAAACCTCCAACTCTTGAGCAACCCAACTGTCCAGCTTCTCATGGGCTAACTCAGGCTAACGAGCTCTCACATCCAAGAGGATTGAAACCACTGCTATATATTGCCTCAGCCAGGCTTGTTTTATCCCCTTAGTAACCCTGTGTAGTCCCAGTCAATTTCCTCCATTCTCTTTACTGTTTTTCCCAAATGGTGGTCATTCTTCAGAGACAGCCTTTTCTTTTACTGAGGAAATTGGTGGTATCAGTTTTGTTTTGTTTTTTAATGTGGTTGAATAACACTCTAAACTCTGCTTTTCTCTCTCATTCCCTCAACACATTTATTTATGTATTCACTGCCCAAGGCTCACTCCACCTGTTTGATTGCCTGATGAATATCAAGTACTATATTAGGCAGTGGCAGGGACTGCATTCCTATATTCCCGATGCGTTCCCTAGATGATGAGCTCCAAAAGGTAGCACCTAGGAAGAACAGTGGAGCTGACACATGGTAGTTTCTCAAAGGTGTGTTGAAGAACGAATGATCCCCTCTCAACTCTCAGCTATAGTCTTCGTAAGTTACTCCAGCTCTCTTCTGTTTAAGAGAAAGAGATGCCAATAAAGGACCCTCCCTCTGCCATGAGCTCCCTCCTGCTATATTATCTTCTTTCTCCCTCACTCTTCATAGCCAGGCTTCCTCAATAGGGAGTCACTGTTAGACTTTCAGATCTTTTTCAAAATGTGTAGTTCTATGGAGCAGGAAATGTGTCCTGAATATCCTTGTATATCAGTACTTATTTTAGTGTGTTGTGGACAATCAGTAAGCAGTCGATAAATATGTATTGAAATGAATTGAATATTCTTTGCTTAAGAGAGGGCATGAAGGGATTGTTCCTTTCTCTATTTGGCTATTTTTACAATTTACTTGAAATGTGACTATTATTGACATACGTGGTCTGCAACGCCCTCCAGGGGTCTTTTTCGGTTCTTTCCTATCAAGGTTTCAAAAGTGGCTTGTTTTTGCTACAGTTATACTTGTGACTGGTTCTTGCAGGTGAAGGAGTACCTCCCGGCAACTATGGCAACTATGGCTATGCTAATAGTGGATATAGTGCCTGTGAAGAAGAAAATGACAGACTCACTGAAAGTCTGAGACACAAAGTAACTGCTATAAAATCTGTAAGTATGTAACATATTAAGTACTTTTAAATTTGTATATTTATATGCATATATTATATACTTATAAACTATATACTTTTATTGGCGTCATACTAAGGAATTTAGTTACCCAAGTAATGTTGTTCAGTAAGGGAGACTCAAAATTTAGACATGATTTGAGTAGAAGGTTTGAAAATGTGGCCCATTAAAACATATGGTACATTTGTTTATCTCTTTTAAACTTCAGCTGTTTTTTTTGTGGTTAAATCTAAAATACTGTGTGTTGTCTGTAGTAATGTCTCCAAGTAGTCCATCTTCCACCCCCAAGCAGCTCTTCTCCTGACCTTTTCTCTTTCTAGTCTCCTAAGCTACAAATCTTAGTCTTTCATGTTTCTACCTTTTACCTCACATCAGTCACTGAGTCTTATGTTCCTTTTTTTCTACTGTTTCTATTTCTGGTTTTCCATTTCTAACACTATCCCCTGGTTCTCTGTTGGGAAGGCCTTTTAACCTACTCCTTCCTAATTTTTTTACATGTTCTGGTCTGAGCTACACACTGTCACCATAGTCATCTCTTTAGAGTATTTTTTTAAATTGCATCCTATACTCTCAGAAGACTTAAGATGTCCTCCCATGATGTAAGAAATAAAGTTCACACTCTGTAGGTTGATTGAATAAGTCCTTTAAAGGTTGTCCACAACTTCTCATTTGCATCTTCAGAACATGTATATGCTTCCTGCCAGACAAATTAGAGTACTCTCTGTCCTTTGCACACTGTCACTTTCCCACTCCCATATCTTTGATTAGACTGTCTATCCCTTTGCTTTAGGTGTCCTCTCCCTCCTTATACTGACTGAGCTCTTGCCATCTGAAAGGCTCCACTTCATTGCACCACTTACTTCCTCCAGGCTTTACCTGATTTTCTTATGAACATAAGACCATTTGTACCATTTCTATAGCCCTTATTGTATAGTGATCTGCATTGGACTTACTTGTATGTAAAAGAAATTTACCAGAATGTAGGATTTTCTGTCGTACTTATTTTTACATTCTACACAGCACCTAGTATAATTCCTTGTCAGTTGTATTGAATTAAATTTATTAAATAAAGGAATTTAAAAAAAGATGGTTTTAACAGTGTGTGTGATTGACTCTGCATTACAGTAAACATGCTATACACTTAAAGAGCATCAAGTAGAAGCTCATATTGCTAAAACTTAATTGCTTTTTCAGTAGTCTTGGAAATAAGAATTGTATTCGGCCTGAAATGAGTATTATTTTCAAAGTCATACTAAATCAAAAGGAGTTGATCTGTGAACTAAGCAATATTGTATAATGTTAATAATTTAGAAAATATAACATTGAGAGGGAATTAAGAATTAAATGATTTTTTTAAAAACTCCAATGTTGATAATTTAGGCTCCTTGTTAGAAGAAAGCTTTTTTCCCCTGGAAATTCCTTTCTGTGGCGTGAATGACAATTATAGACAGTAGTTAGGTGATTTGGGCTATTGAGCTTTGTAGTTGCTTTATTACCTCATATTCTGATCTATAGAATTCTAGCATGGCTTTGTGTCAATAATACCCCCTTACACTATTCACACAAAATAAGCTGAGAACAGTATTTGCTATGGTTTGCCAAGGTTTTTAGTAGTTGTGATTATTTTTATTCAAATATCTTGGAAACAAAGGCTTTGATGAATTTGTCATATAAAGCAGTAAATGGGATTTGGTTTGAATAGCAGCTGTAATCACTTACAGATTTCTTTAGGCTGAGCCTCTTTTCTGTATAGCTTTAGAATGTGGATAAACTAACTTATAATTTTTTTTCTATTTGTTGTATTTTAAAGAAAAATACCTTTACAATCTAAAGAAATAATCAATTTAGGCATATATTCAAATGTCACATTTTAATAGGAAAATATTAAATGTTTGTATCTGAATTTGAATTGGTAGTACATATTTGTATATACCTTTGTATGTACTTATATATATACATATATATACTTGCATATAGCTTTAAAAACACAACGATAAATGCTGTTGCATGAATAACATAAAGAAAGAAAAAAAAAGCATGCAAGGATAGGAGAATCAGAGAGAAGTATGTACCAAAATCAAAAGATGGACTTGAAAATGAAGATGAAATCCAAATGAAGAACATGGGAGCAATATCCTTGCTGGGAAGGAGTAGAAACTCTAAATTTATTTTCCATTAATTTCAGTGAAAATGTACCAGAAGAGAGTAGATTTTCTATTTCTAGAATACAGCTTTATTTGAGAAAATGTATATATTTAAAATGGCATTATATTTACTTTGTAACACTTACTTTTATATGAGTAGTAATGTATATGCTTTTTTTATAGCTTTCCATTGAGATAGGCCATGAAGTTAAAACTCAAAATAAATTATTAGCTGAAATGGTAAGTGGGATTTTAACTTTAAAAAATTTGACCTAATATTCTTAAAGTTAGTATGTTAATCAGGAATAATACCGGTTTAACCTTTATCCATTTTGGAATAGATCTAGAGATCGCAATTCTTAGATTTTTATCCATTTATATCTAATTAATTTGGAATAACTACAAAGTTTATCTTTGCCATGTTTTTACATTTTTCATCTTCCCTAACACACATAAGGAGGGGAAAGAAGTGGAAGGCAATGCACCTTTAGTCCTGTGTTTAGAAACACTGTTGAAGACTCAGGACAAATGACTATTTTGAGTGTTCTTAGAGATCTCAATGGATATAGACTACCAAGTAATCAAAAAGCACTTTACATCCAATCAACCAAATGCCTTCCACTTAATGTAAGGGTGTTTCTTTTGCTTGTTGCCCTAAGGATCACTTCTGAACAAATCAATAGGATTTGAACATAGTAACATCCAGAGCCCTCTATCTCTAGTCTAAACAATCCCAGCAATATACACCTTTTCTTCTTGGAGCCTCTTTCTATTCTTTAATCTTTATTTTGGATGTCAAACTTCTCCAGTTTCTCCCCATGCTTTTAAATTGCACTATCCAAACATGAATATGGCATTGAAAACAATGTTTCTTTGGAGGTCGCGCATTAGAATCATGTGGGGAACTTTCTGAAAATATTGATGCCTGGTTCTCACTCTGAATATACTGCTTCAGAATTTCAGGGAGAGGGACATAGGCATATGTATTTTGTGAAAAGCATCCCAAATGATTCTGATACATAACCCTGCTGAAGAACTATAGATGTATAAAGTACTTGAGCTACATAGCCAGAGCTATACAAAAGCTGTCATTATGCTGGGGCCTATAAATCTCAGCATATTGAGTTTTCTATGAAAATGCAGTATTTCTAATCCATACCTAGTCATCATAAGGACTTTTCCAGCTGTGTTTTAATATGGTAGTTTTCCCCATCCATATTTGTAGGTTTTACTGTTTTACCACTTCTACATGGTATTCTCTTAACTTTTAATAGACTATTGTACTTCAAAGTCAGCTATTTAAATGCAAGGATCTTAAAAGTAAAGGTACATATAACTGCTAACCAACCATATTAAATTTTGGATGAATTGCTGTACTGGAAAGCATACTCATTTGACCTTGGAGAACATGCCCCAACAAAAAGTGGTAAAAAAACCTCAACAACCATGCTTTTCCAGGAGCTACGAAGCTGGGGAGATCCCAGCCAGGCCAAGGTGTCCAATCTCATTGTCCTCCCAGCCCTTCGACCCTCTCCTGAAGGCCCTCAATAAAATGGCTTGATCTTCCTGCACCCAAAAGAAGTGGGGGGTAAAAACCTGTATGATAGTAGAAAAACTATTTACCTTTATTGTTAATGTTTTTTAATCCACATAATTGGAATAAGACCTAAATAGTTTCAGATTTTTAAATACTCTGTGGCTGAAAGAAATGTTTATTGGATAATGAAGGAGCTTTTTATTCATTGAGAGAATTACTCAGTTTTGCATAGAGTAGTCAGGCTGATTATATGAGTTATAAACAGGCTCCTGAATTGATTAAACACTAAAATTATCATTAAAAATGTATTCTAATAACAATATATCCAATTACTTAAGTGTGCATATGTAGACTATTAGAATCTAAGCATTACATTTTGTTTTTCCTTTCTTCTCAAAGGATTCACAATTTGATTCTACAACTGGATTTCTAGGTAGAACTATGGAAAAACTGAGGATTTTATCCAGAGGGAGCCAAACAAAGCTGATGTGCTATATGATGCTGTTTTCATTCTTTGTCTTTTTTGTCATTTATTGGATTATTAAACTGAGGTGATGTAAGTAAGTGTGAGTTTGGAATTTGTTCCAACTTAAGTGGCTTGGGGTACCATTTTGGTAAAAAAATCAGCATCAGAACATTCCTAATTTTCACATACTATGGCTTTTTCCATGGAAGATTACTGAATTTTACTTGTTTTATAAATCACAGGTAATACAGTGCTCTTTGAATACTGTTTGTTAATGAATCATTTTTGCCCCTATTTTAAGGGGTATTGAGATGGCCAAAAGTTAGTCCAGCCCTAACAATTGTCTTTCTATTGTTTCCTGTCAGATTAAACAGCAGTATAGTATTCTGTCATTACCGTAAACGTAGGTTTCCATGCCACATGGAGAAACTTGGTGGGAGAATAATTGAATGGAGAGCCTGTCGCTGAGCCCTTGGGGTGGTGACCAAGATTGGGATGGAGTGATAAATATATTTTCCTGAGCAAACACCAACTCTAATGATGTAGTACCTTTCCTCCTTCAGTTGGTTAAATTAGATTTCTTTTTACCTACAATTTTTTCTAATAATTTTTGACTATATGACTCCTTTTCCCCCTTTGCCTAAGGACTTCATGCTTTAATAAAGCTTGTTATTTTGGCATATTTCTTGTAGGGTACAAAACAAATGTGAACTGGTATAATTGTTATTTTATATTAACTTTATACATACCATTGACTTGGCTTAAAATAGTTTTATGATTTTAGCTATTTAGGCCATTTGGTTATCATTTGTGACAGAATAATGTGAAGCTAAAGTAATTGCTAAGCTCTGAATGGAAATAACATGTTCAAGAAAATTAATTGCCTCTGCTTTATTATGTGCTCAAAATAGATGATTGAAAGTACTCAGCATTGAACTTGGGGTTAAGAGTATTGTTGCTTTAATCCAGTATATTTGTTTATAGAAAGCAAAATAAAGGTGGAATGTTGAGTATAAAGAAATATAAAAATGTTCTTAAATATTCTGTATTGCTACCATTTTGGAATTTACTCATTTATAAACACTAAAAATAAATTTTTAATGAAATAGATTAATCATCTTTGTTGCTTCTTTATTTAATCCTCTTATATTTTTAAAAAGAACCTGAGAAATGTCCTGAAAACACAGATTCTGAGCAAAATCAGGAAAAGTTAACATATTTGTATTATTTCACAACTTGCTTCAAACGAATGATCTCATGACTGCAGTTTCAAAAATATTTAATTTTTAAATATTGTTAGTTATAAATCTATTATCATTGATATCACAATAGTTTTTGTTCATCCCTCATTATCTATCAATTCGGATCCTGTGTTTTCTGGTTGGATTTGTTGTCATTCGGGCCTCTGCTCGGCAGGTTAACACTAGAACTGAGAGGGTTAAGTGGCAATGTGACAGACCTGAGGTATGATGTGAGACACACTGGTTTAAGTTAGATGACCGTGGTTCAGATATCCATTTGTTCACTTGCTCAGTGTTTGGTGGCCTGTTTCTTCATTAAATCACCTATTTCATAGGATCATTGTGTGAGACAGAGAATATATTGGAAAGTGCCTTACACATGATAGTCACCCAATAAATGTTGGTTCTCCCTGTTATTCCAGACACATCAAAAATGAGAGTAATTTTAAGGGCAGGACAATAAGCTGATTTCAGGGTTTGATGATTACATGATCTCTAAGTGGAAATTTCTATCAGACAATTAGAGATTTTTTTTTCAAGAATTATTTAATTATGCCAATTATGTGACATCTAGAGCTCAGGGAAGACTCAGAAATCATGGCAATAATTAAAATTGCAAAAAGAAAAATGACTGGAAGATGGAGACAGAAGGGAATCAATAAGAAATAGACAAGATCAGGCCCTAGGGAAACCAATGAGGGCAAGACAAGGATGGATTTTAAGATTAAGGATTGATTATTATATGAAAGTACTCTGTAAAATATTAAAACTACTTAAATGTTAGATATCATGAAGGAGGTGATGATAAGGGGTTTGGGGTGATGTAAACGTGATTCTTATCACTGCATTGTCCAACATTTCTTATTTTAGAGTTCTTTTTAAGAACTATCTGAAAACAGGTCCCTAACCAGTGCTTCACATCCCTCCTCCCC